AGTGAGCAGAGGCCATTTTCCTCTAATCCCACCAGCATGAGCTATTGTCCAGGGTTTTAATTTTTGCACACCCAATTAAAGAAAAGGCATCATTCACAATTTTGCACTTCTTACATCTAGTGATGCTGAGGCTGGTTTGGCTTACATACTGGCTGCTGGTCTGCCTTCTGGGAAGGCCTCCCAACCCCTCCAAGGCCTCTCTTCACTCCTGGGTTCCAGAAACCTCCCCCCCACCATAGAAGGAAATAAGACAGAGAGCAAGGGGAAGGTGAACCGAAGAATGAAGAAGAATGAAACCAGGGCCTGGAGCAAGAGACACAAAAAGTGTTTGTTGGTCTCTTTTTTGAATTGGCGTCTCACTCTGTGGCCCAGGCTGGAGTGCAGTGGCATGCTCACGGCCACCGCAGCCTCGACCTGCTAGGCTCAGGCGATCCTTCTGCGTCAGCCTTCCAAAGTAGCTGGAACTACAGGCGCATACTACCATGGCCGGCTAAGTTTTTGATTTATTGTAGAGATGAGGTCTTGCCAAGTTGCCTAGGCTGGTCTTGAACCCCTGGGCTCAGGCAATCCTCTTACCTCAGCCTCCCAAAGTGCTAGGATTACAGGCTTGAGCCACTGTGCCTGACCTGTCGGTCTCTTAAAGCCACCTGCTCCAAGGGGAGTCAAAGACTGGATTGCTAATGGCACCATGTCAAGCTTCAACAACAGGAAGGGTATTTTCCAGTGGGAAGATCTTCCTGGGACCCTTATTATAATATTAAATTGTTCCTTTTTTGTCTATCACCATGAAGCTTTCTCCTGTTTGTATGCAAAGGCAATGACTTGGGACTGTCACAAAGTAATTAGGTATTCACATTTCTGCATATTAATCCTAGAAATTAATCAGAAGCGCAGGTAAAAGCTATAAGCCTGGGCAACACAGCAAGACCACGTCACTATAAAAAAATTTAAAAATTAGCCTGGCGTAACGGCTTGTGCCTGTAGTCCCAGCTACTGGGGAGGCTGAGGCTGGAGGATCGCTTGAGCCTAGGAGTTGGAGGCTACAGTGAGCTATGATCATGCCACTGAACTCCAGTCTAGGTGACAGAGTAAGCCCCTGCCTATAATGTTTTCATAGCATTGTATATTGAATCAGAAAACTGGAAACTATTTAAAATGTCTAACAATAAAGAATAGGTTAATAACAATTTGTTAGATCTGTCTGATAAAATACAACACGGCATTTCTTTTTTTTTTTTAGTTGGAGTCTCACTCTGCTGCCCAGGCTAGAGTGCAGTGGCACAATCATAGCTTACCATAGCCTCAAACTCCTGGGTTCAGGAGATCCTTCAGTTTCAGCCTCCTGAGTAGCTGGGACTACACACCACCAAACCTGGCTAATTTTTTGATTTATTGTGGAGACGAGGTTTTGTCAATTTGCCCAGGCTGGTCTTGAACCCCTGGGGCTAAGGCAAAGTGCTGGGATTACAGGCGTGAGCCACCGTACCCAGCTCAATGCAGCATTTTAAATAATGCTGGAAGTACACTCAATGCCACTGGAAGTTATTTTAATTTTACATTACATATATATGCAAAGAAAAAAACAGAAGTAAGTATATCAAAACTCTAATAAGGAATTATATTTGGGTGGTGAAAAGATATATACTTTAAATTTCATTTTTTGGACTTTTAGGCATATTTAAATTTGGGGGAGTGACCAAATATTACTGTTATGCTCAGAAAAATTATCTTTAAATGCAGATAGTAGATGCCCTGGCATGGTGGCTCATGCCTGTAATCCCAGCATTTTGGGAAGCCAAGTTGGAAGGATTGCTTAAGGCCAGAAGTTCAAGACCAACCTGAACAACATAGCGAGACCCTGTCTCCACAAAGATAAAAAATAAAGTTTAGCCGGTGCACACCTGTAAAGCGATGGTGCACACCTGTAGTCCCAGTACTTTGGGAGGCTGAGGTGGGAGGATCACTTGAGTCCGGGAGTTCAAGGTGGCAGTGAGCTATGATTGTACCACTGCACTCCAGCCTGAGCGACAGAGCAAGACTCTGACTCAAAAAAAAAATTAAAAGAGATAGTAGAATGTTACAAAGTAGTTGATGGTCTTATTCTCTTGAAGAACTGCTTGTTAACCTGGAAGTCAAGGAGAAGCCCAGGCCTGGCCTTGCTAGCATCCTGCTCTGTGGTTCCAACTTACAGAGCACACGGCCCCCATCCTCTCACCGGGCATTCAGTGGGCTCCCAAGCCTCCCAGTCTGTGATTTCCCAGCATCCAACACTCAGGGTTCCAGTTTTAAGTCCGGGAGCTTCTTCCCCACCCCCAGCCCATTCTCCCTAAGCTGCCGCTCCACCAGCTCCTGGCCTCATCCCTGGACTCACACTCATTCTTGCCTGTCTCTTCCAAGCATCTTCGAAGTTTCATTCCCCTGCCTCCTCTGTCTTTCTCTCCTCTCTCTCCTCCCTCTCCCTCTCCTCCGACCTTCCCTAAGATGGAATGTAGTGGTATGATCATAGTTCATTGCAGCCTCCAGCTCCAGGGCTCAAGTGATCCTCCCACCTCAGCCTCCTGATCTCTCTTTTCCCCTTTAAGTACAAATGACAGTATTGCTTCACTCACTTTAGGAAGCTTTATACTGAATACACATGTACCAATATATAAGTATGGTTGAGTCCAGCATTTGTGATCATTTCTATAATTTCTTTAAAGCTGGACATCAGGCCTTTGATCAGACTCCTCCTGCACTATTTGACTTACTTTTTGTTCGGTGTTTATTTGCTAAGAGAAATATCACATCTCCCAGCCCCGTGTTCCATCTGTAAGACCCTAAGGTTATTTTCAGTGGCCTCAGCAGAGATTTAACATTAAGAATGGTGATAGAACATCACCTCAAGCTAAGACGTTATCATTTTCAGAGAACTTTTCTGCGTGGATACACATTATGCATTCATTCTGAGTAGTGTCTTATGAGTCTAGTATGTGCCAGCACTTGGTAAATGCTGGATATTATGGAGGGAGAGCACACCCTTGCTGATGTGTAAAAGCTTACAGTCTGGAAAGCAGGGAGATGAGCGCGTAATTAGACCCCACGATGGTGTGAGGGTCCCAACAGAGCCGGGGCACGAGGGGCCAGAGGGCCTGAAGGAGAGGAACGCCTGAGCTAAATCTTCAAGGAGGGATAAGATGGTAGTTGTAAAACTCTGTAACTCACTAAGATTAATTGACTTATACACTTAAAATGGGCAAAGAGTATACATCACAGTATGTAAATTCGATCTCAATAGTTAAAATAAAATGATGGGCCGGGCATGGGGGCTCATGCTTGCTACCCTAGCATTCTGGAAGGCTGAGGCAAGAGGATCGCTTGAGCCTAGGAGTTTGAAACCAGCCTGGGCAACATAGTGAGAGCTCATCTCTGAAAAATCAGAAAATTAGCCGGGTGGTATGCTCCTGTAGTCCCAGCTACCTGACAGGCTGAGGCGGAAGGATCCTGAACCCAGGAGGTCAAGGCTGCGTGGCCATGATCGTGCCACAGCACTCCAGCCTGGACAACAGAGTGAGACCCTGGCTCAAAACAAAGTGCAAGTGAAGGACGAATATTGTGAATGGAGAGAAGGGTATGGTGAGTGCGTGGAGCTGGGGACCAGTGTAAGCAGCGGAGGGCCACCAGCCCTTGGTGTGGCTGGAATGTGGGATTGTGGGGTGGGTACAGGGGTGCTCGCAGGCTCCAGTGGGGCTCAAGCAGCAGAATCCCTGAAGCGACTTGACCTCTGTGGCATGGCACGAATCCAGGAGTCCAGTGACACTCCGGCACCTTCTGGTCTTTTGTTTTGTTTTTCACTAAAGGCCCTTTCTTTGCCAAGTCTAAGCTGGGAAAGAAGCATGAAGTGGAGAACCCATATGCCCAAGAATTAGAACAACAAACATGTTTTCTAGAAACCGATTGGGTCATCTCCCTGCCTCTGGGCGGGTTCTAGTTAAACTAGCCCAGACAGAGGAGTCTGCTTTGTCCTTAAAGGTCCCTGGAGAGGGACAGGCTCTAGGCTAAGAAAAAGCATTGTCTTTTTTTTTTTTTGGAAAGCAAGATTTATTGAGAGGATAGAAAAGCTCCCACAGAGGGAGGGGACCTGAAGGGGTTGTCCAGAAGCATGGTCTTAAGGCCCCTTGCAAACCTGTCCACATGTGGAAAGCCTGGAAGATCAGAGACAGCACATGACTAGATGCCATGCTGGTGCTAGTGTCCCAAAAGCCAGAGCACAAAGGGGCAGAGGGCTTGATGGGAGTATGGCCTGGGATTTTCCAGAGGGACACGAGCTAAGTTTTTTTCTGAGTTGGGATCTTACTCGGTCCCCAGGCTGGAGGGCAGGGACACCATCATGGCCACTGCAGCCTCCACCTGCTGGGCTCAGGTGACCCTTCCACCTCAACCTCCTGAGTATCTGAGGCTATAAGCACACACCACCACATCTGGCTAATTTTTTTTACTTTTTGTAGAGATGATATCTCGCCAAGTTGTTCAGGCTGGTCCCAAACTCCTGGCCTCAGGGGATCCTTCTGCCTCAGCCTCCCAAGTAGCTGGAACCACAGGCTTGAGCCAGCATGACCAGCTTTTTTTTTTTTGGAGTCTCACTCTGTCCCATGCTGGAGTGCCAGGGTGTCATCACGGCTACCGCAGCCTTGACCTGTTGGCCTCAAGTGATCCTTCTGCCTCAGTCTCCTGATTAGCTGAGATTATATGCATACGTTAGCACACCTGGCTAATTTTTTACTTTTGTAGAGACAAGGTCTTACCAAGTTGCCAAGCTGGTCCTGAACTCCTGGGCTCAGTCGATCCTCTCACCTTGGACTGGGATTACAGGCACAAGCCAGTTACCCAGCTTGAACTAAGTCTTAAAAGATGTGCTGGCTGCGTTCTGACTGTGTGCCTGTCTAGGGTGCAAAGCCTTGGAGCAAGGCCTTGGCTTCTCAGTCACCCAGCCCAGAGTGTCCAAGGGAGTAGGGGTCACTTACATGGCACCTGGCGATCTGGGCTTCCGGGACAGTGGTTCCACAGAGCAGGTGGGGCAGGGCCGGGAGGCAGCATCTGTACACACATTGGGTACCCCAGAGGCTCATGCTGATGGAACTCCCTGGACCTGAGGGGTCTGGGGAGGTCCCAGGGGTAACACACGGAGGTGAGGGGCAGCGGCCTCTCTAGCTGCCTGAGGCCCAGGACGTCCTGGGGCTGGGAGTCATATCCTGTGTCTACAGTTGGCAGGTCCAGGCCTGCCCGGTTCCCAGGGGGCTGGGGCCCTGGCCCCGTCTCTTGGCTGCTGCCCAGAGAGTCTGCTGAGGCATTGGGTAAACTTTGGTCTGATTCGTTTGAGTCACAGCCAGTGTCAGGAAAAGCTGCTGAAAGCTGAGATCCCAGCCATTGATCACGTTTTCCCATAAACGAAAACCGAGGCTCTGTAGGGAAGGCCCCGACGGGTCCAGCCTCCCCAGCTGCAGAGGGGCCCAAGGGGAAACCTCTGCCGGCATCTGGGTGTCTCCTGCAGAAGCTGTCTTCACTCTCCTCCAGAACCGTCGTGTGCAGACAGGTGACCTGCTGGGACACAGGCCGCTGGTGGCGTACCAGTCCCAGGGGCAGCTGAACTCGAGAAAAGTCCCCGGAGGAGCAGTGACGGGCCTGGGGTGTCGATAAGCTGTCGGGTGCCGTGTTCCCTTCATCTGGAGTAGGTGGTTCTGGTCCCCCGTCTAGGGAGTGTTCTGGGGTGGCCTTCAGCAGCTGACCTGGGTATGGCTCCGATTCATCAACCTCCACAGGAATGCTCCGGCTCATCCTAGCTTCTGGAACAATAGAAAACATGCTCAGAAGACAGCTCAGGTCCTTGGGTTCCCACCTCATGGCCGTAAGGGACCTCGCTCTGAATGTGGTTTAAATCCATAGTTGTGTGACAACGCGCTTGGACAGAGAGAGAGTGTCCCACCCCAGGAAACTGTTGACTTATCCTCTGGGCAAAAGCATGGATGCGTACTGAGATACTCTGTCTGGAAGGCATTCAGGGCACATGCCTGGCCCATTCTGTGGTGGAAATCGCTCACAGCAAGGGGAAAGAGGTGCAAACACACTGCCAAGTTCTGAGGAAAGAGACATTACCATTACACGGGCTGTTCCGTGTGTGTTCAGAATACACGATGAAACAAACCTCAGTCACTGGCCTGGAATCACCTCCAAGACAGATGAAGGGTTTTTTGTGTTTTTTTTTTGAGTTGGAGTCTCACTCTGTTGCCCAGACTGGAGTGCAG